ATCAAATTGGGAATTGAACTGGAGGTCTAGTAGCCCCCCTTTGGCTGTTACATTATCACATTGATTAGGGCAGCTCTATGACACATCATTCAGGTTATTTTTAAGCTGTGACGGAGTATCAACAAAACTTTCTTGCTTGTTTTTTAAGCCTTGACAGATTCCTAGCTGTGATTTGATTTTGCAACAACGTATAATTCCTGAGTGGAGGATTGAGCCTGCTGTTCCTAAACTGAGTTCTTGATGAAGAGTGTTATTTCTTCGGATCTTGCGATTCTGGACACATCAGGACAAAATTCACAGTGATATATTCAAGTTAAAATCCTTGGCAGCAAGGATTTATGACTTACTTTTGCTTTGCTTCATGTTGCATTGGACTTCTGCGCATCAGCAGTGTGATGTTGCAAATACTTAATTGAAGCTCTTCAGAAAAATTTAACTTCTGTATTCATTCCTGTTCTTTGACTTACTATCAGTCTTCTGCAAGCAATTTTTTTTTGAATCAGAATAATCTCTGCTTGCAAGTGGTAAATTGACAGATTGAAGGCATCCTTGTGTGTGTGAACTGTTTTCTTACAGTTCTCTTATCCATTTTAGATAAATGGATCCACTATCCCCGCACCTTAAGAGGGAAAAGTATTATGACCTAATTAATCTCAGTAACACTAATGACTTGCTGGAATTGAAGGTGAAGTCTGTGTCACCAAAGTAGTTTCTCTTTTGAGTTTACAGTCTAGCTTTTTAAGACCATAAAACCTAGGAGCAGAACTTGGCCATTTAACCCAGTGAGTCTGCTGTGCCATTCAGTGATATCATGGCTGACCTGATAATCCTCATTTCTAATTTCCTGCTTTTTCCCCCAACCCTTGATTCTCTTGCTTAATAAACTTCTGCTATCTCCACCTGAATATTAAAAATGGATCTTCATCTTCATTCTAAATTGATTTCATTCAGTAGAATTGTGTCTGTATCATTAACAGTCTACTGTTTGTTAACTGCAGGAGTGCCAGGAGAACCACTGCCTGTTGAAAGTGAAAAGGACATCTTTGATTACATTGACTGGCAATACCGAGAGCCACAAGAGCGAAGTGAGTGAGTGTCACCTGAGGGTTACCCTAAGAACCTCTTTACATGAAAAATACTCTGAAGTTCTGTAGAAATAAGAATACAGTGAGTCCTGATAAATGTAGAGCTAGGTAAAACATTCATAAGAATTTCTCAATTTGCTTGCTAAAGAACTTTGTGTACACAAATATGACTGGTATATTATGCATGAAGTTTGAATGTATTTGTAGAGAAGACCATCTTTCGGTAAAGTACTGTGCAGTAATATCAATAAACCATTTTGTAGACTCATTGTCGCATTTAATAATGAATAAAAAATAGAATATTAAATACAAAAAAATGCACATGATTAATCAATACTGTTTGTAAAAGTAGTGAAACCAAAGGGCTGCACATATATGATCTTAAAGAACACAAGCCACGGCGACTTTCACTATTGGACCTTTCTGAACGCTAATCTAATTAGAGTGATACTTTCCAAACACGATACCCTCTCGTTCCAAAGCATAGTATTCACGAACTGCTTGGAAAGCCAACAAAAAACTGTACAAATCTGAGTGGCCCACATTTTGCCAACCTCATATAATGTTCAATATAAATTAGGTCAAAGCTTCATAAACATTCACTTCAGTGGCTGTGTATGTAATTCATAGCTTTTACATTTATGGCATGCTCATGAACAGAGGGTAACACTGCACTCCCATTAAGTTTTCTCTGGCAATAAATTTCCACAAGTTGTGAATGCTACAAGTTCTCTGCAACAGGTCCTGGGACACAGCTTCCAAACTGTTGGTACAAATGCTGTGCAATTCATTTGACAAGTGTGGCATCTGTTTTAGTGCACTGTGCTGTCTCTAAGATAAATCACTTATTTTGTTCCTTAAAATACAGTAAACATTCACTGCAATGAGTAAAAGATTAAGCAGTTCAGATTTGAAGAAAATTGCTATCTGATATTTTTCGAGCAGAATTGCAGACTCATTTTCAGAAAATACACCAAGTTTTGATTTTTTGTATGCATTTTGCTGTTGCAATGCAGTCAGCACACAGAATTGATAATTGAGTTATCAGTGTCGGAGTAAGTAAAGAAAGGATAAATAAGTAAGTTACTGTTCTGTTATCAGAATGAAAAATGATCCTAACACACATGATCTTAGATTTATAATATGATTAGCAATAAATAAATAAGAACAAGCACTTTGAATAAAATAAGAACACTTTCGACGACAGTAAGTATTTTTTTTGGTTTTGGAATATCATCAGCTATGTCACTGGGATTTGAAGCTGAACAACAGCTTGATCATGAAACTAGCTAAAGTCGGAATTGCCAAGTCTCTTGACAAACTGTGAATTTTTCTATCTACCATAAACTGACCATAGTGATGGTAAACAGTAAAAGTCTCTATGAGCTCTATGGCGGGAGATAGGTCTCAAATTTCATGAAAACTGACCTGAATAGTCGGCAGCTTTAGAGTATGGGTGGAGAACTCAAGTAAACTGCTGAATTGTAGGTTAGCTAATAGTTGTTCTGGTTTAAGTAGTTATTTGTGAATACTTCTGTCGAATTTGCCAAACTGATTCAACATCCTGTAATTTGCTAGTATCATGAGAAACTTTCAGAGTTTATCTCATTTCTAAGATATACGGAAGATTGTATATCCAAACATTCTCAAATGTTTCAGAAATTAATGTTTAAAATAACATGAAGACTGCCCTTCACTGCAGGAAATTGCTCTGAGACTTACTTGGAATTTGGATCAAATTATATTGATGCTCACCTGAGATGCAGAGTTCTGACTTTGGCAAGGTTAAAACTTTGGAAAAGACCTGGTGTATGATGATGGCGAGGTCCTGCCTAACATGTCATGGCTTTGGTATTTAAGATGGGAAAAGTTATTTTGCAGGCATTTATTGGAATTTTTACTGTCTCCAGTCTCTGTGCAGAACCTAGCATTGTTCAGTGGCTGCTGATTTGCCCAGAGTCCAGGATTTCCATCCAGTTCTGTTTGCTTGGGTGGAAGATAAAACGTCACCTTGGCCTGATGGTGCCAAATGGCTTTTCTGAACAACACACACGTACTGTTGTATTTCAGATCCTTTATGTGTGCCAACTATATGTTGTCATACAATATATGTTGTAAGCATTTTCAAACATACGTGACATGTTAATTGCATTGTTTTACAATTAGTAGAATATTGGATTATATTGATAGTGGTGAGTCAATCCAACTAAGTAAGCAACCTACTGATTTTTCAATTTTAGACAGCATGTAGGCTGTTAACAATACAGGCTCTGATCCTTGTATCAATCTTATCAAACAATCAAGTCAAGGTATTTTGTCTGTGGAGCCTTCATTATTGCTGCTCAGGGTGTGGCCATATTGAAAGACACATTTAACACTGAACTTTGCATGAAAAGTAGATTACTCTAAATGTACGTGATGTGATGGAGCAAATGGATGCAGAAATGTGTTTGCCACATGATGATAATGGCAGTGTGGAGGGAGTGGATTTCCAAATACAGAACGTGGAGAGACAAAAAGCTGGCTGGCAGAACCTTTCAAGCTGGCTGCCTAGTGGAGAATATGTATGGTACAACTCGAGCAGCATGAAGCAGAAAGACTTTTCCTGACTTGAAAACCTCTTAAGTGCTACAACCTCAAAGAAGCTTAGGAGGAGGACATTACATTAACTCGGGGTGAAGAATAAAGCAGTAAAAGGTTACAAGATTTAAAGTTTGGAATATGGACAACAGACTAGAGTGTGAAGAAGAGAAGCTTTCTTGGTGGGTTGATCCTAATTATTTTTGTTGTGATGTCAGTGAAGGATTGTTAATGGAGTTTCAACAAGTTAATCATACAAACTTAAACAATTCGATCTTTAAATATTTCCGTCAAACATGTAACCTTGATATCATAACAAAACTAACGTCAGGTGAATGGTAAACAAAGAGAATGATAGTGGAGTGCCTCAACAGAGAATGATCCAAAAAAAGGTCAGAGTCACTTTCAGACCTCTGCGCAATGTACAATTTCACTGCTTTCCCAATTGTAAAACGTTTTCCAAAATAACCCTAAAATAAATTTATTTTCTTATCAGCAGGATAAGCTGACAAGAATAACAGCTTACTCTCTTAGTTGATGATATCTGGATATGCACAGCATTAACCATTTGTTTTCTCCGTGCAAAGGAACCTGCAAGCTGTCAGATTGAAGAAAAACATTCTTATAGTAGGCAGAAAATTAAGAGCTGCTGGTGCTGCAGATATGAAATATAGGCTAGTCAAGATCGGAAAGAGACAGGGTGTTGTAGACCTTCACCAGTTCTGATATAATTGCACCTGAAACATGGACTCAGCTTTTTCCAGTTCAGGTATTGACATACCTGAATATTTTCAACATTCCGTGCTGTTCAAACACTTTTAGTGTGTCTCAGTTATTAAAAGCCATTCACTGCTTCTGCCCTCCCCAAGTTTGCTGCCCATTCACAGTTTAGCCTTATGTCAAGATAGAAGGGGCAAGTCAAGTTTGGAAGATCATAACGTTGGATTGTACGGTTGGACATTTTTCTTAATTCAAATAATCGTAATATTCAGCTTTAACATACTTGACTGAAACACTGCATCGGTTTGCTCTGCCATATTTGTTCTCTGTTACTTATCTTTGAAAATGTGGTATCACCTTTGGCCATCAAATACTTGCATCTAATAATACAATTTAACACATCCAATGAACAATTCTTCCATCACACTCACCACCCTACACTTCAGGTGCTTCACCTCACAAAACTTGTTTAATACTTTTTTGCACCCAATTTCATGCTCCGATTTCCACATTTTCTGCTTTGTTTGATGATTCAATTTTACTTTAACTGGTGCAATAGCTGATGCTGTTAATTTGTGCGGGCTGGGGTCTCTCTCTCACTTTCTCTCTGTCTTTCTAGACACGTTGGCAGACTCGTAGCCGGGAGATAGATTGAGATGTGCCTTGGTTTTGATTGCGACAAGCTAAACCTGGGCCACAGTCGCATCGTTGGAAGATCTCCGGCCCTTGTGGGCCTTCTTTGCGACCACGTTTCGAGCAGACTTGCCCCTCTTTCAGTACAGGTCGACAAATCTTCGACCAGAAGTGACGAGCGCAGCACAGTCCAGCAGAACAGTCTGATGTTCGCAAGCATGTCTCTCCTTCTAACCCTGCAACACAGAGAGTAATACTTATTTATTCTAATGTCCGTTATTGACTATTTACAGTGCTCTTCTGAATGGAAAAGATCTTCATCTGTTTGCTCACTGCATTTTTTTTCTCTGAATATTCTTTGAGCCACCAAAGTTGTCGTCTCATTATGACATTTAGTTTGAAACTCTCTTTAGCATAATACACAAGACATCTTCAACCCCTCTCAAATGATAATCCAATAGTTCAGAATTCCTGTTATCTTACAATTCCAAATTAATTCTCAATTAATTTCACCTTTATTTTTCTACAGTAAATTTCTGATATTAAAGAAAAGATCTGCTTTGATGCCATTCTTTCTTATAAAAAAAATGGTTGTAAGTTCTGCTTCAAATATAAATCTTTGCCAAACTTAAGCATGTATATGCTTCAAGATTGTGATACAAAGCACCCACTTGGAAGTGAGACTGACTTATTTTGTTTCTTTAAATGTATGTCATAAGCAAGCCTTCATTAATTTAAACTGTTTACAATTGTTGTCACTGTCATATGAAATTCATTCCAAATGTTCACCCCGTATTGACACCTCTGAGTAATATTTTCAGCCTCTCTTACTGTTTATTCTAGTGAGATTGGAAATAACTGCTTCATGAACATGCTAGCAAGTACCCAGGAGAAGAAATTTGATTTCAGCAGTTGCATGAATATTTAATAAGGACACAAGTGATGGTATGGATGAACAAAGTTAGTAGCCATAAAACATTTGCTGGAACATGGTGCAATTGGAGCAACACAAAAATGTCAGCTCTTGGACGTAGTTGTAAAGTGTTCTAAAGCAGAAATTGGAACAATATCCTGGAGTTTCTAAGATCATCTCAAAAACCTGATAGACCCTTTCAAAAGGTAGTTAGTTGTTTTCATATGTACACCATTTTCTCTTGAATAGGTAGATTCACTGGCTGAGGTTTGCTGTGAAATTTAGTCTTTAGAAGTGTGTGCTATTGAAGACCACGTGTCCTTTTCAATGTTTCATTTAAACTTGAACAACTGCTGTTTGTAATGTTAACCAAGATCAAGATGGTCAGGACTAGTTTGAATGCTCATGGGGATCAGAGTGGATTTTTCTAGATTCTTTTACCCAGCAGTTTGGCTGAACACTACTATCTTCATGTCAGATGCTCCCTTGCACTGCTTCTTTCATCTGTCCTAATAACTCCCACTCTGACTCAATTTTTCTGATAATTTTCTGTTAAGACCCTTGGCACATATTAATATTGTTAAAGGTATTATAGAAAAACAAATTGAGTGTATACAATATCTCTATTAAGCAGGGAATATGCAGTAGAGACTATCCTAATATAGGATTACTATCCTGTATTGTTTGATGCATTTCATCACTTTATTGACAGTATTTCAAAATATGATACTTAATAGTCTCGTGGTAGTGAAATTGGTTTTAACATTATTGAAATAATTAGTTTCATAGGAATCATAGAACATTTATGACAAAAAGAAGAGGCAGGTCAGATCATCGTGTCCAAGCCAGTCCACTAAGAGTCCCAACCATTCCTATCTTCCTGCATTTGGCATGTCATCCCATAGGTCAGGGCTCTTTAAGTAAACATTTAAAACGTATGTTTTAGTGGAGAGTGGATAGGAAAGCTTTCTTTTTAGGCAAAAGAATGATCAGAAACAGACAATGGGAACATTCCCACATTTGGTTAAATATGTAGCAAGGTGTTATTCAGGTTTGGTATTGATTCCATACCTATAACATACTTTTACCAATCAATATCTGGAGAACCAATCATAAGACTCAGGGATTTATCCGAATATTCTTGAGATTTTTCACTAAATGGTGATTAGTATCTTGTGCCACCACATCATTATTATCTTTTCCAGGAGGTGGATTACATATTTGATGTTAAATGGATCAGATTGCATCTTGGGTCAAAGGAGCATATGATTTACTTAACAGAGGAGATGTAAATGGACAGTACCTAAATCAACATTGTGTATTCACAGTAATGTACCAACGTTACTACCTGTTTCATTTTTTAATTTGGAAAGAAAATCACTAAGTTATTGTTCAACATGACTAACTCCCTGAAATTAGTTGCTAATCAGACTTGTCCAGACTGTTTGCTGACTGACAATCTGGTTTAAGCACCTGCACTTAAGTTCTATGTCCGAGACTACTGGCTGCAAAGCTATGAGACAATCATTGATGCTGTTCCTGCTCAATGACCTTGGACATTGCTGTCAGTTAGCTTTGTCATCCCCGGCTTGGCTTGCTTATTGAACATATTTTGAGATCTTTTGAAAACATATTGGAACAAAAGTTGCAAACAAACTGATGTACTTGTCATTACATAGATCAGCTGCTATTTCACAGTATCAAAGCCTCACAATGTTTACTGAATCCTTGTGGTTCAGAAGCTTCAAAATAAAAAGCTTGGCCATGTAAACACAAGCATGAAGCAAAAATGGTCAGAGCTCCAATGTACAATCGCTGAATGCTAATTATTATGCAGAACTTTTATACTTCTGAGAAATAATCAGTGAACATCAATGTTTATCCCGCTCTACTATGGACAATATTAAAAATCTGATGAAACTAATCTATAAAAATATTTTACATTTGGGCAAAGGTTTTGGGAGTACAATTGAGAACCAAGCAAAAGCTTATGCTGTCTGTTGTAAGATGTTTCATAATTTCCCAATTAATTATTTCTTTCCAAATCTGGTGAGGCAAAGAAGTAAAATGGTGACGTAAGTAACTGAGAAGACATCTTCCATTTTGCACTGCCCTTTGTCACAAGAGCAGACTTCAGTATTGTGATCAGTTAGAATTGGAAAATAAATGCACCAGGTTGGTGCCCCTTCATAAATGTACGTAGGGAACCTGGCGCACAGTTTGAGGATTGTTCATGCATGTTCCATCTGATTATCTTGTAGAGGGTAATGACTCCCCAGTGCAGTGATGGTTACATTAATAAAATGCCTGATTTTAAACTCCACAATTTAGCACATGGAAAGACATCGAGAGAATTCACTGTACTCCAAAAGCAAACTTTCCACATGTTTAAGAAATTACAAACTTGTGGCATTAATTCACAAGATGTATTTATAACCTTGTGGCTTCAGGCTGGTTGCTCACCGCAAAACGCTGGAGAAGTCCTTTGCTGATGTGTTAAATCTATTTGAGATGCAGTAGCTATGCCATTTAATTTTTGTCATGCAATTGTTAACCTAATTTCTAATTTTCAAACTTTGTTTTTATTTTAAGTTTCCCAAATTCCTCTCTTAAAAGGTGCTAACTCTTGTGAGTGGACAGTCCCATAGTCCCAGTGTCCACAAATTTTCATCCAAATAGTCTTTCTTCATATGTGACCCGAGGAAGTTTATGTTGACAGGCTATTCAGCTGCATCACAGTTAAGACAATCCAGTTCACTGCTGATATTCCCATCTGAGCCATTTTGTTTTTCCCTACCTCCTCATCTTGTCACTTAAACGTCATTAATCTCCCTGCTGCACAAGAGGAATTCTCTTGCTGACAGATCTTTGTTGTGGAATGGAAGAGGAATGCATAGTGAATTGCTATTTATTGCTGCTCCCTTACCAGAGAAGCATCCCTGCTCCATTTGCAAGAGCATAAAAAACAGGATATCACTAGGCACACTAGCCTGTGTAGTTCTCCAGTACTGGGTGAGCCATCCCCAAAACAACCTGCATTACCTCCAGATCCCGTACTGTTCCTTCCTCCTTGTATTAGAAAGGAAGAAATTTCCTCTGCTTCATTTAGTCTGGTAAAATTATAAATGAACTCTAAGTATTTTTATAATTTTGCTACATCTAAAGAGTCCTCTGCCTCCTCAGGCCCAGCCACTGTTCCAAAATGGCTAGTTTTCCATTCCTTGATTTGAAGAATCTACAATTCAGTTCTCCAAACCAGCCATTTCTTGTTTGAAATATCTACCCTGATCCTTCTCCATATTCTTTGAGCTTCATACTCTGTTATTCATGATAACTGTTTTATCCTGCTCTTTAACAATCTTCTGTGGTGAGGTTCACAGATACTTGACAGTGTTGTTCACTGTGGGTAGCAATGATAACTGAGACTTCAAGCATCATACTTAAATCTGCCAGCCCTTTGAGCTATTAAACTGGGATGTGTAAAACCCAAAAAACCAATTATATTTCTTGGCACTGATAATTGCCACAGGATTGAAACCAAATTATGTCTTTAGCAATGAAAGAGCTGAAGAGCATTTGCTTTCCAGAGGTATAAAAATGAATTGGTTGGGCTCTGATACAAGCCAGATTGTAAGTAATTAGAAGCCCATTGCCGTTAAGTACTATAATTTCAGACAACCAGAGGGAGATCACTTAATGTAAAGCTGTGGTATAATTCAAGTGTAAGTCTTAATTTAGTGGTATTATCTTTGCCGCTGTGTCAAAAAGTTGTGGGTTCAAGCTCCACTCTTTAAAAACTTGAGCGCATAATTTCAGCCGATGCTTTAATGACACACCAAGAGTGTGCTGCATTGCTGGAGGTGATTTCTTTAGAAAGAGAAATGATGGCCCAATCTGCTCTTTAAAAGATAGATGCTCAGAATCCCATATGCGACAGCTTTCTTGGTGGCTGGCATTATTTACTCCAATACTGTCATTACTAAAGTAAACTTTCTGGTGATATATCTCATTGTTGTTTCTGAGGCCTTGCTGCAAACAGTTTTCTTTGCTACTTTTCTCCACATTACACATAAAATGTGCTTTGGCACTTCACTACATTACAACTCTGAAGTACTTTGAAGACTGTGAAGCATTTTGGAATATCTTTCTTGATTATATTTTTGTAGAACGTGGAAGAAGTGTTTTGTCGGAGCAGTGGTCAAATTACGTTTGGTATTATTAATTTCAAAAGCGAAGCCAGTTAATGCAGGGGGAAGGCTCAAATGTTCTGTTAGTGTCAGAAATGAGATTTAACTAGAGCTCCTGAAATGCCAGTTAAAAGACTTTCTATAAAAGTGCCTTTAATGATACAAATAAACAGAGCTAATTGGCCAATCAGTGCACTTCCTTTCACGTGGAAACTGGCCTGGTATATAGGAAACAGCATTTAATCTCTCATGAGAAAATTCTGCACTGATGTATTGCCTGATGTTCAGTTACAGGTTTTAGAAGTTTTAAAAGGTTTTATTTTGATGTCACATTTGTTCATGAGAATATTGATGGAAAAGTGACAATAATCGTGGTTTATCAGCCAATCATGTAATTCTGTCATGCCAAGCCTGAACATAAGATGATGACAAATCTAACTGAATGATATATTTTTGCTTAAATCGCCTGGAAAAAAAAACTATCTGAAAACTTAACGTAGTAAAGAAGTAAAGCAAGCTGGCTAGCTGTAAGAAGACAGAGGGTGGTGGTTGATGGGAAATGTTCATCCTGGAGTTCAGTTACTTTTGGTGTACCTCAAGGATCTGTTTTGGGGCCACTGCTGTTTGTCATTTTTATAAATGACCTGGATGAGGGCGTAGAAGGATGGGTTAGTAAATTTGCGGATTACACCAAAGTCGGTGGAGTTGTGGATAGTGCGGAAGGATGTTGCAGGTTACAGAGGGACATAGATTAGCTGCAGAGCTGGGCTGAGAGGTGGCAAATGGAGGTTAGTGCGGAAAAGTGTGAGGTGATTCACTTTGGAAGGAGTAACAGGAATACAGAATACTGGGCTAATGGTAAGATTCTTGGTAGTGTGGATGAGCAGAGAGATCTGGGTGTCCATGTGCATAGATCACTGAAAGTTGCCACCTAGGTTGATAGCATTGTTAAGAAGGCGTACGGTATGTTAGGTTTTATTGGTAGAGAGATTGAGTTTCGGAGCCATGAGGTCATGTTGCAGCTGTACAAAACTCTGGTGCGGCCGCACTTGGAGTATTGCGTACAGTTCTGGTCACCGCATTATAGGAAGGATGTAGAAGCATTGGAAAGGGTGCAGAGGAGATTTACCAGGATGTTGCCTGGTATGGAGGGAAGGTCTTATGAGGAAAGGCTGAGGGACTTGAGGCTGTTTTCGTTAGAGAGAAGAAGGTTAAGAGGTGACTTAATAGAGACATACAAGATGATCAGAGGATTAGATAGGGTGGACAGTGGGAGCCTTTTTCCTCGGATGGTGATGGCTAGCACGAGGGACATGGCTTTAAATTGAGGGATGATAGATATAGGACAGATGTCAGAGGTAGGTTCTTTACTCAGAGTGTAGTAAGGGCGTGGAATGCCCTGCCTGCAAAAGTAGTAGACTCGCCAACTTTAAGGGCATTTAAATGGTCATTGGATAAACATATGGATGATAATGGAATAGTTTAGGTTAGATGGGCTTCAGATTGGTTTCACAGGTCGGCGCAACATCGAGGGCCGAAGGGCCTGTACTGTGCTGTAATGTTCTATGTTCTATGTGAGTATTATTTTCGTGTACTCGTGGAGAAGCATTTCTGTTGGTTGGTGGTTAAACATTGCTGAACATAGGTTGTATGGAAATCAGCCCATCCTTCTCCTGTTCATTGATCTGAGCTCAGCATTTTGGGAAGCTTTTTGTTTCTACAAATTCTAAAGGACTGAAACCAATCATCACTGTCATGACAAAAGGTTAAGTGGGAAAGATAACCAGCCTCACCAATTTGACCTGCAAATGTGGATGTAGGAGAGTGCAACGTTCAGAAATCACTAGCTGTCCTGGAATGAAATTGGATCTCAGAGCAACCATGAACCATTTTCTCATGGAAAAGGTTGAAGGGGCTAAACCGCATTCTTTTGTTTCCAAACTCCAGTTAGTGATGCAGTTAAACTCTGAACATAGAACTGTGTGTTAAAGGGGCACGGTCAACATTTTTTTGGTACAGAACCAACATCACTTTTTAAATCCAATATTTTCCTCACAACTTGACTCCAAACAGTGAAATGTCTCTATTAAATCATTCATACTTCATTGGAGATAAACCTTGTTAGTTTGTGCAGAGTGAAAGAATTCCCTGCTGTGGTCATTGATTATGTTCATTTATTTATTTTTAGTAGCTGCAGTTCAGTATGATTATTCGGCCTCTGGGTTTCTAGTGTGAAGTACAATAAAACCTAGACAATGCAGAAATGGCTGAAATCAGAAGTGGGCAGCCTTAGCTGGTCACACCCATTACCTTTCCTCATTTGTGCTTTGTCGAGCTTTTCTTTTTGATTTTTCCGTCGAGTCTCCTTTATTTTTTGAGTCTTGGGTTTCTTTGCCTTTTTGCCACCTTTTCTTTTCTGAGGTTGTGTAGCCTCGGATGGCTTTTCTGCAATCTGCCCTTCTGTTCGTGTGCATACATCTAAAAGAGAGAGAACAAAAGAGTTGTCTGTCAGAAATTGCCAACAACCCCCCCTCCCACTCAACCCCACACCTTCCCAAGGGATCAGTCTTCCCAAACAATTTCAGTACTTCACCATGAATTGCGTTCACAAGATGGAAAGGCTTTTAAAACAAACTTTATTGTGTGACACTTAACAGTGGTAGGTGTAGATTTACGCAGGATACAGCTGTATAAAAGCAGTGCCTCAGGCTAGTCGTGGATGAGGGGAAGCAGTTAAGATTAAAGATACTTTTCAAAGGTGTACTTCTAAGCAGATTTCTGATGAAACATGAGTTGAGTTAAAGATTCTTAACTTTATACAGAACTCAACTTCATAAGAGGAGACAGCTAATTTCCTGTTGGATGAGGAACCAGATTGCCTGCAAGAATTGCATTCAGTTATTGCAAGTTTGTAGCAGATCCTCTGTATGTTTAACCGTCAAAGAATACTTTCTACATAGCAGTGTTCATTTCCCTTTTTTTCAACACACTTTCCCAGTCAGAAGGCCACCTTCACAATGTGCCTTCTAATGTAGCAGCTAGTTGCTATGATCATTGTTTTCCTTAGTTTTCTTTTTAATCCTCTTAAGTACCCTACTCATCCTATACATTCTTTTTCCTCCCTCTAAATCACTGCTTCCCAAATGTTTAAACTCCTTAAATTCTTCAGAATTTCTTTCCTCCGAGAGTCTGTTGGGTTTTCCAGCTTAACAGACACTCTGGATTTTGTCTCCCTCCTCCTGAGGAAGCTGTGCTTTGTACTTTCCCTGGGAGACAGATGTGACAATTAAATATCTCGTGTGCTGTACCATTTACATAATATATTTGCAAGTACTCTCCATTCTTTGCTCTCAAATTTGCTGCACATAAGAAAAGGAGAGAGCCATCTGATTGCCCAATCGTTCATAGAAGATCATTGATCATCGAATCCCTACAGTGTGAAAACAGGCCGTTCGGCCCAACAAGTCCACACTGACCCATGTCCCTATAACCCACCTAAGCTCCACATCCCTGAATACGCCAGGCAACTTAGCATGGCCAATCCACCTAGCCTGCACATCTTTGGACTATGAGAGGAAACTGGAGCACCCGGAGGAAACCCACGCAGACACGGAGAATGTGCAAACTCCACACATACAGTCGCCCTAGGGAGGAATCAAGCCCAAGTCCCTAGTGCTGTGAGTCAGCAGTGCTAACCACTGAGCCAAAGTGCTGCCCCATTCGTGTTGTCATAGACCAGGGAAAATGTTAACTTTGACTTCCTAATTTCCAATTAAATGACATTCAGTCGGCATTTATAGCTCATTGTAACTTTCCGTTCTGGTGCGTGTGCATGTAGTTTGAAGTATAAGTGATCCCCAGTTACAGGTAGAAATGAGGACACTTTTTATTTGATATCGGGGACACACTTGCATCTGTTGAATCGATTGATCAGACAACTTACTTTGGTGCAAGAAGCAATAAGGAATTTCAATTTTTAAGACATGGGCAGGATCTTAGATGGATTGACCATCAGCAGATTTCAATTTTAATTGTTTTTAAAGTTAAATTTGACAGTTACCATATTCCCAGGAAGACGGTGTTACCAGAGAGACTAGCCATCTCAATGATAAACCCGCCAGAGGCAGTGGGACCAGCAGCAGTTGAAGGTAAACCAGCATGTTGTCATGATATTCTCTCTCTCTCTCTCACCCACTCCCAATCCCACTCCCACTCCCACTCCCACTCCCATCCCTCTCTCTCTTCCCCCCATCCCCCACCTCCTAAGTTACAATCCAGCATCACCCATGTCTCCCACAGGTAGTCTGCACCAGAAGAAAGTGTAAACACATTGTGAAAAGTTTGGGTAAATGTTAGGGTGAACCCAAGACTTTATAATGCATATGATGTCAAATTTATCATTTTTAAGTATCTTGGGCAGAATTTTAGCAGCATCTGAGCATTGTGGGTGAGATTTGTGACAGAATCAGATGAGAAATGCGGTAAGGCCTATATCACTGTCAGGAGCTTCATTTTTTATGATTTTCGAAGCAGTGTGGTGAGTTTCTCAATGGGGAGAGGTGAGTTGTCAATTAAGGGGGATTGTAGCTTGTTAAACGCCTTATTAATGGTCCAAATCACCCCATTAATGTTCAGCTTCCCAATATTACCAGATGTACCAAATGTACCAAACCAGCTGGACGGAGAGCAAACTCACATGTAAATCAAACTTTCAGCTCGCTGTTTGCTCCAAAGGACCTCCATGTAAGACGCTATGCATTCTTCATGGGCAGTAGCCGCACATGATGCACGTCTACAGACACTGACATTCAACATGTACTAGCTTCTAAGAGCTCTCATGGCACATCTCTGATCCACTTATACGATGCCTCTGCACTTCACTATTGCAGCTCGGGCTGCACTAGCAGCTATCATCACTGTAACGTTGCTGCAAAGACAGTGTGCGCTCAGGGACATGAAGTCCGCTCATGGACTACACAAGGCTGCATCTCTGGCTGTACATTTGCTGTCACAGCACTCACTCACTGAACCTACCTGGATGCTCACAGCATCCTGCCTTGCATTACCTTGCCTTGCTTTTCTGCACTTTGGACCCTCAGTCAAAGGTACCGGCTCATATTACTTCTGTCTTGTTTTGCTGTTTAGTGCAGACATGAAGCTAGGAAGCTAAAAAAGATCTCTGTCAAGTTCAGAGATAGCGTTTGCTCAGGTGTTCCCAGTAAAGTAAGTCAAGGTCAGAATCTGCTATCACCTCAAGGGAATTGATAACAGTCAGCTACTTGGGACAGTCAAGAGTCAGAATGCTCTCCACATGCAGGGTGAGGAGCGATGTCAGGCAGCCCACCACCTTTCTTGATATTTTTTTGCCCCATTGGGGACTGCTTTCCACCTGGAGTGAGAGAGAAGCAGGTATTAAGGGAGATGAAAGTGGGTGGCATCGCTGTTACTTTTCGTGCAGGTATGGCAAGCTTGTGAGTAGCCAGCACAGAGTGTGTGTATTGTTAGTGATGTCAGGGATTGTGGTGGGTGACAGCAAGTGAGGGAAGATATTGCAGTCAATCATGGGAGTAGTAGACCATGAGCCTCGGTGGGAGGTTGGTACATCAGCAGAAACAGAGTGAGTGTGAGGCATCAGAGAGATGATGGTGGCACGTTAAGCTGGCAAGGTGGAGAAGAGCATTCGCCCTCTTTCTGCAGTGGTGAGCATTCCTCCATATGGCTGAGACTGTACTGATTCAGGTGACATCCTTTGAACAGACTGACAAGGTCTGGGGTTGTGGCCTGTGCTGCTGTGTTGGGAGAGGAGGAACTCCTGTGTCTGCACCATCCACTAGGTCCGTCTTGCAAAGCGGGGTGGCAGTTTCCTCCTGTCTGTCACATCCAGAGCAAATATTGGGAACCGTGCAGGACGGCTCTGTATTGATTGTGCTTGTCTAGGTACACAACAGGTTTTTGACGATGGTGTGGGTGCAAGTCTGCTGATCTTTTAGTGGATAACCAGCAAATGGCAAGTTGTTCAGAGAACAGAATGTGGTAAGATAGGACTAAAAGTGGATGAGAGGGATCCCATGGGGACAAGGTACTAAATTAATGAAGAACGCTTGGTAAGATATAGTGGGATGTCCTGCTGGGCCTTATAGTGAGAATCCCTCCAAAAAAATTGACTCAACCCAAATGAGTCCAAAAAAAAGTAAAATTCAGCCCCTTATATCATTCTCATCCCTCAGTTTGCTTAGAGATTTCAAAATTATACACAATTTAATACATTGTATGGTATATTTGCAAAACCTAACTTTCTGTGCCATGGCTGAAACATCCAGAATTTCATTTTTCAGTTGTATCTAGTGTTTCAGTTCTATGTCCTGGAAAAAATATAGGCATAATGGTCGCAAAGTATGTCCTTGCAAGTAATTGTTCCTATGAGTGGAATAGTGAAAGAAGGCAGTTTATCGGAATTTAGCAAGCTAAGATTCATGTTTTAAAAGACAAATTAGCTCCTTGCTGTCTGTTCAATTTTAAAGTTTTAAATTATTACAGACTGTGTCACTCCCTACAGCACAGTACAGCTGTATCCTGCAGATGTAGATGTTGCCATCCAACAGGTTTTAGTAACATATCGATGCTGTTTTACCTAATTAATTCTCTCCCCATTGAAAGTTTTGACTCCTTGGGAACACAGTACAATAGGAGACCGGCAAATGTTTTGCTCAAATCTCACAAGGCTGATTGCTCCATTCCTTTGTCTAAAGAACCAGAGCCAGCAGTAATATTATCGTTCCACCCTGGCTGAGATGAGCTAGTTCATTTGGGATCAAAGCTGGCACCTTCCCAGAATGTATATTTATCTCTGTTGCATGACTCATGGAATGTTCAGTCTTGCCAGCACTACGTTGAGAAAAGACTGACTGCTGCACACTGAAGATTGTTTTTTTTAAAATCCCCACTTATGCATTCTTCTTGACAAAACCTATTTCTGACTCTGTAAGATGTGTCTTGGTTGGCGATGAATTGGTTAGGGAAGAGTGTTCTGAGGATTAACATCAATCACTTAATTGTTCCAGCCAGACGTGTGCAATGGCTGCAACAGCAGGTCAAATGCTGGGAATTATATGTGTACCTCGGCTGTTGACTTCCCAAAGCCTGTCTACCAACTACAAGACACAAGTTAGGAATATGATTGATTACTCCATACTTGTCTCAATCAGTGCCCTCCAAATACCCTGAAGAAGCTTGACACCATCCGGAGCACAGCAGCTCACTTGATTGGCACCCATCCGCCACTTTAAACGTTCACTATCTCCACCACCAATACATGGTGGTTTACAGAGGCACATACGTGCTCGCTCACTCAGCCACTCTCACCCACAGTCTCATGCGCACGCTGTCCTGCTCTCTCGTTCGCTCACTCACTGTTTGGAACAATGTCTGTTTTCCTTCATTCTTGTTTATTCCAAAATCTGGAACTCAGTTCCCAACAGCATTGTGGGTGTAGCACACTGCAAAGACCGCAGTGGTTCAAGAAAACAGCTCATCACCACCTACTCATGGGCAATTTAGGAAACAGAATAAATTTTGGAGTTTCCCATGAGCAATTTTTTAAAAACAACTAAACGAAGGAAAACACACAGTGAAATTTCTAAGGATGGGAGCTGGATTTGCAAATTGCTTTTTTTTTGAATCAACCAAACTGGGGACATAAATCCCAAAACTAGACAAACAAACACAGTAGAAACACATACGTCTTCCCCTTTGCTGAGCCGGTGTAGCTCCAGCATCATTGGAAGTGCTGAGTGACTGGAGGTGGGGTAATTGTTCAGTGTTCCCTCACTATCAGAAAGGCTGTACTAAGGCAATACAACACTAATGCAGGTGGGGACAGTATTAAGTATCAGCTCAGCAATACAAAGAGAACTCTGCAATGTCAGGGGGCAATACTGAGGGAATACTGCAAAGTTTGAAAGCTGGATTCACTGAGTAAGCTCGAGACACTTATTGGACTGTACATAACATACTGTATTCAGCATTGGTCATGGACCTAACTGCACACAAAGATTGACTTTGATTTCAGCTTCTACCTCTTTCCTTTGAACTCTTTGAAGAACTCTTGAAAATCATTCTTAGTTTGCCTACTTCAAAGGTACACATCACAGCTAAGACCTCATGAGGTATCTACTCTTGAATTCTTTGAAAACAGTTAATTCATATAAATAGCTACTTACATCAAAGATACTTCTCTCAACCAAGACTTCCTTACTTGACTGCTTTGGAATCCTTTGAGACATAAGTTTGTTCACCATTTATCTTCCTATCCTATAATTAATAGCTCCCCTCTGCTTCTGAAGGAAATTATCCTTCAACCAGTCATGGCCAACATTATCACAGTCACTTATTTTCTTGCACAATAGTTTCTTATTCGTAATAAACTAAGATTTGAAGCAGAAGATTAGCCAAGCGTCCTTCTTTGCACTTCATTGCTGGCATCGAATAACCATTGCTTTAAGGCGCAGTGAAACTCTGTTATTAATCCATAACTCCGCAAGATGCTTAACAATGGCCACTTACACATTGGCAATCTGAAAAGCAGAGGGTGTGCTTCAATGTTAAGGAGAATTGCCTGTGGAAGTCCCATTCAACTGTGGGTTAAATACGTTCTGGATGCTGGGGAAAATGGTTTTCCATGTTTACAGTGAATGTTTATATTTGCAGCCACTCCTTAGTTTTTTGGAGGGGCTGCTGCTAAATTTTTGGTTGCATTTCAGCTCCATGCTCCTGATCTGTGGGCACCCCATGCGGGTGGTTAGGTAGGGCAGGTCAGAAGGTAGGTTTGTTCCTGGGCTTGGCCAAAGTGGCCATTAACAGGATCAGACAGCAGGCTGTGGAGGATTCATTCTAACTAACTGCCTGCCCCTTTTTTTGCAGTTACATCCACACTCGGATCCACGGAGAGTGAACGGTGTCCACTGGCACAATAGAGGCCTTTAGAGACTGGTGAGCACTGCAGGGGCTGGAGTGCATTATTACTTCAGACAATGATATTTTGTTAACGGCTAGTTTGTATTTCGGTTGCAGTGGCACAACATGGCTGTTTAACCTGGTTTTAAGCCTGATTTTTAAAAAGTCAGAGGCAGTGCTGAGGGAGTGTTAAACCAAAGAGCTTAATTTATTGTCATGATATCATTGTAGAGTTTTTCAGGGATGTTTCTGGTCTGTCTCTCCCTCACCTGTGTAAGGAGCAGATTTGCATCTCTATGTACCTTTTCATTCCATTCTCCTTTTGCCTGCTACCTACTGTTGTTTGAGTCACTATGTTTTATTTGCTCCTAAAGAATTTTGTTAAAAAGCAGGGTTATTCCATTGTCCATAGGGCAAGGGAAAGGAACTCCATTAGATGGAAATAGTTATGTCGTGTACCACTCCTTTGCTCGGCAGGAATTGGAGTAGACTCGTAGATGTTTGCAGTGCAGAAGGAGGTCATTTGGCCCATCATGTCTGCAATAGTCAGCAAGGATCTGACTACACTATTCTCATTTTCCAGCTGTTGGAGATGATGGGATTACAAGCAAATATCTAAATACTGATTAAATCTTCTGAGAGTTTCTGTCTCAACCACCCTTTCAGACAGTGAGTTCCAGATTCCCCACCCTCTGAGTGAAAAAAAATCTCTTCATTTTCCACTTAGCCTTCTACCTCTTGCCTAAATCTATGCTCTTGGTTATTGACGCTCTACCAGTGGAAAAGGAAAATGTGTTCTATTTAAACGTTTCAATCTTATACCCCTTCTTATAACAGGTGCCCTCTCAACCTTTGTTGCTTCAAGGAAAACAACCCCAGCCTCTCCAGTCTTTCTTCATAGTCCACACTGCAGCCCATACAGCATCCAGGTAAATCTCCTTTGTACTCTCTCTTGTGTAATCACATCCTTCCTGTCATCCGGTGACCAGATTTGCACGCAATACTGCAGTTGTGGCCTAATCAGAATTTTATATAGTCTTCGTATAACCTCCTTGTTCTTGTATTCTGTACCTCGATTAATGAGATTAATGAATTAATGTCCACCAAGATCCTCTTGATCTTCTGTACTTCCCAGACTCCTCCAGTTTATAATGCATCATTTGCCTTGTTAGCCCTCCCTCAGTGCATTTTTTGACACTGTTTTTGGGTTGAATTCCATTTGCCATTGATGTGCTCACCTGACTGGTCCATCCTCTCTCAGTTTACAGCTATCCTCCTCAGTATTCACCGCCCTATCAACATTTGTGTCATTAATGTGGAATCAGTGAATATATCCTAACCATTTCATTGACTGCTGGTGAATTTACCTCCATTCAGTTTGCTGGAATGACACTGACTCCTACCCCTCAGTCTGTGCTGCATCATTTCAAAAGTAAATCTTGAACACAATATTGTTAAAGCCATAAAGCCAACCAAAGAGAAGGTGACACCGGATGAAATAGACTTAGCTTTCTGATTTGGGATATGTTAATGCAAATGTGCAAATGCTAACTGGCAATGGTTTCCTCTAGTGTCAAAGTAATAGCTATCAGAAACTGTAGCCATTCAGTTACCCAGTGTGATCTGAAGAGTAAGATCTGTATTTTGCACCAATGTCATTTGGAATAATCCAGCTTCACCACTGACTGACTGACTCCAAGGATATGTGCAGTCATTTTGGTTTGGATTCCTTTTGAGCTGTAATATGAAGTGAGCTTACTTCACGTCAACTGTGTGTGAAAGCTGTTTGGTAGAATCTCATGCTGCTGCAGTTCAGTCCTTACCATTTAAACAGTGGCTCCCCGAGCAGCACATTTCATCACGTTGGCACTGTCTCCTTAGCCCCCTGCAAGCAGAGCAGATGGGCTGGACCTGATGGGAAGTGAAGCAAAAGCTCCCAGGGCCACAGTCAGCATCTGCCAAGCACCGAGACACCTGAAGAATCAATGAAAAACATCATTATAGTGAAAAATTAAGACTAGATCAGTGATTAATGCTTGTGGGACATTAACAGTACAAGAAAGGGAGTTGGGGATTCAGCAGTGTAACATTATGAGAGAGTTGGTGTTCACACATTTCCATGCACCCATTCTGTATTTGAAATTTGTAATTTGTAATTATCTGCAGTGAGTCCTTACTGTATATTGTTGCAACCCAACATGATCTGCTTGGTAACATCTCTCTTTGCAGTTTGTCATTGACTTTAAGCCTAATGATTGAGCAATCCCTACTCTGTACCAATATGTTCCAGTTCTGGAAATTTTGATGCGGATACAGGAAGCTTTACTCTGTCCCCATCAAACACTCCAGGACAGCAACAGTGCAGGGTTAGACACAATGTCAAGAAGTTTTTCTTTCAATTTAAAGAGTGGAAAGTACTTTCAGTTTAAAAGAATAGAGGGAGCTTTGCTCTGTATCTAACCATATGCTATACCTAAACTGTGAACATTTGATGGGACAATGTCGAGGGAGCTTCGTTGCTAACCTATGCTGTGCCATTCTGGCTCTGAGGAGGACCAGATCACTGGACTGAAAGAAAATTAGCAAGCAGTCAAAATGTTTGCTTCAAGAGTTGATGGTTTTGCTATGAAGCCAGGTTAAGGAAATGGGCAGGAGATAGTACTGGGCTCATCACACTTGCTGCTCAAGAGGGGAAAAAGGTGTGGATTTCATTCTTGGCGCTAGCAAAAATAAAATAGATAACTGAGAACAGGAAAACATGAGAATTGCAAAGGATGTCACAACAGTTTCAAAATCAGACTATCAACAGTAGAAAGTACCAATCACTGAGTAATCAGCCCAAAATTCCTGTTGAGGTAACAGTTTTTTTCTCATTTATATAAATGATTTGTATGAGAACATAGGAGGTATGGTTAGTAAGTTTGTAGATGATACCAAAATTGGTGGTGTAGAGGATAGCGAAGAAGGTTATCTCAGAGTACAAGTAGGCCAATGGGCCAAGGTGTGTCAGATGGAGTTTAATTTAGGTAAATGTGAGGTGTTACATTTTTGTTAAGGCAAACCAGTCAGGACTTATGGTAGGATCCTGGCGAGTGTGCCAATCCAAGAGACCTAGGGATACAGATGAATAGTTCTTTGAAGGTGGAGTTGCAGGTAGACAGGATGGTGAAGAACATATTTGGCATGTTTGCCCTCATTGGTCAGTGCGTTTAGTATTGGAGCTGGGAAGTCATGTTGTGGCTCTACAGGACATTGGTGAGGCCACTTTTAGAATACGGTGTTCAATTGTTGTCTCCCTGCTATGGGAAAGATATTGTTAAACTTGAAAGGGTTCAGAAACTATTTACTGGGATGTTGCAGGGATTGGAGGGTTTGAGCTATAGGAAGAGGCTGAATAGGCTGGGGCTATTTTCCCTGGACTGTTGGAGGCTGAAGGTGGCCTTATAGAGGTTTTTAAAATCATGAGCGGCATGGATACGGTGAATAGCCAAGGTCTTTTTCCGAGGGGAGGGGAGTCTAAAAGTAGAGGGCATAGGTCTTAGCTGGGAGAGGAAAGATTTAAAATAGCTTGCAGGGCAACTTGTTCAAGTAGAGGTTGGTGCGTGTACGGAATGAGCTACCAGAGGAAGTGGTGGAAGTGGGTACAATTACACCATTTAAAAGGCATCTGGATGGGTACGCAAAGAGGGATATGGCCCAAATGTGACTCGATCAGTTTAGGATGTCTGGTCGGCATGGATGAATTGCACCGACGGGCCTGTTTCAATCCTGTAAAAGTCTGTATAGCTCTGTAACCTGGGAAATACACATTTTCCAATGTGACCTATAATGTATCCAGATTATTACTTTTTGTACTGTCTGCCACTGTGCCTATTTAAATGATAGTCCACCCAGTGAATCTCGACTTCGTAAGTAACGTTCAACTCAGGACGTGTTAGACCCCTCAGCTGCTGGTAAAGATCCCACAGCGATACATTGTAAATAGTGTGGCAGCGTTTTTGTTGATAGTTTAACTGTAGCCACTAGGCGGTGCTATTTACGCTTGTGCAACCTGGCCAACTGGATCCAGTGCCAAGTTCTAACCACAGCAACTAAATTCATTCAGCTGTTTAACCCTGTTCAGTCAATGTTTCTGCTATTACAAGGACTGGTCAACTTTCGCACGGATTGTGCTCCGAGGAGTTTAACTGCAATGCGTGTGATAAAAAGTGACAACAAATGGTACGTTTTGTTAATAGCACATTTGAGATGGAGAATCTCATGCTGGGACCAGTTCCGTGTCAGAGAGATCAAAAAGTACCTTTTACTTCTAGCTACTTGGATCCCCCTCACGACAAGAGTTTTGACCGGAAAGGATTGAAATAGATGGGGAGTGCATATTATTCTTGAAATCCCGTAAGCCTGTATTTTTTTTACCCCAGCTGCGTGCAATACCAGTTGATCCCTGAGTCAAGTCAACTTGGCACACCGACAGTTTCGTAGAGGTCTGCTCTGTGCGTAATGATGCTCTCTGACAATGGAGTGAAGTGAAGAATGTAGAGAACAAACACCAGCATGGACCTTTTGTGCCGAATTGCTTTTGTCAACGATGCCCGGCACGATACGCAAACCGGAAAACCAAGTCCGTGTCAACCTAGAGGTGACTTGAGGTGACTCAGGGTTGCACATTGTTGATCGTTCTTGATTTTTAATGCCCATTTCAGCTATTCGATAGGAATAGGACCCAAAGGAGAGATTGGCTTGTGGCTGCTGCTCACTTGCTGCAGAAGATGTTTTTGCTATTCCTTTAGAAATGAGGACTATGCGATGTCTTGTAGCGGGATTCATGTTGTGCAAGACCGGCGTAAAGGCTAAGGGAGAATCTTCACGTAACGTTTATGGAGAGAAACAGAATTGAATAAGGAAGGGATGAACTGGTGGCATTTCCGTACCTATGTTTCTGTATTGAATTTTCCAACTTAAGTGGTTGTGAACTAACTTATTCAAGCTGCTTGTATGTTACACAAATGTGAAAAAAATCAGCTAACTGGAATTTGTCCAAATTGTATTATCCTTACCAATTCTCTTTTCTAGATTATGGTATTGTCACTGTGTGATTTATTCTTCACGTTGCCTCTCTTTCTTGATCCCTTTATTTCTTGTTTCTGCTCTCCCGCACATACATACACATTGCTCCCTTCTGTTTGGAACGCCTTGCCTCCTGCTGTTGGTGTTCTTCGTCTCCGCTTCTGTGTGTCTGCCTTTCGTTCGGGCTCAAATACAGAGGATGCTCCCGAGGAGAGGCTGGACAAGTTTTGACTGTTCTCCTTGGAAGAAGAAAGGGCTTCGAGGAGCCTGAATAAAGGTTTTCAAAATTATGTGAAGTCCCTCTGACAAATGGGTCTAACAACAAGAGCTTATAGATCTTAAACTTATTGACAAAGGATCTAGACTAGAAATGTTTTCAGTCAGTTGAGGGGATCTGGAATGTTTTACCGGAGAAGTTGGTGGTAACTGCTTGAATAAATAATGTTACGTTTGAAGTTGAACAGGTACTTGGGCAAGTTTCAAGTTGACGGATAAAAATCAAAAGCAGGGATTTGAGACTATGACTTTTTCGAACCAACGCAACCACTGTAGGCTATCCGGCTTTCTACATGTGCTGGAATTATAACTGTTCGAGCCAATGTGCTACCTGGCGTCAATGACCAGAATGACCACATCTTCACTTGGGAATGAGTTACTGGCATCAAAGTTGGGAGAGCGCTGAGCCGCTCAACACACCAACTATCTGCTTCACTCAATTTATTACACTGGCATTTGGGGCTGGTTGCATCAGTAATTTTAGTAGGAACTTTATCACCTGGTCAATATCCCATCTACTTCCTTGACGTGGTTGTATCAATCTCCCTCCCAGTGTACCTCGACTGCTAAGCAGCAGTGGCGGATGACCAAGAATGGGAGCGGAATACTTTGACTTACAAGTTCAACTCATGACTTGTGTCAAATTCCAGCCATATACGGTCGGCACCAATAGAATTCTGCCATTCCCAAACTTACCGAAAACAAATTGTGCAGTGTCTCTATTCCAGTCGGGATTGGACTGAGTTCTTCAGGAACAAGCATCATGTGAAGGTGCCGGTGTTGAACTGGGGCGAACAAGGTCAGAAGTCACTTGACACCAGGTGAAGTCACCTGATGAATGAGCAGCGCTCGGAAAACTTGTGATTTCAAATAAACCTGTTGGACTATAACCTGATGTCGTGTGACTTCTGACTTTGAACAAGCATCCAGCCACACACATGTACCTCCTTGATCAGACAGCAACGTATTTGCACAGATAGAAAATAACTGGAGAGACTTCGTCTGAGTCGCGCATTTATTCCCCCGTTCCTGTTCCACTTCCATTTGGCTGAAATCTTTGTCACCATCGCCGCTGTTTTCAGGCCGCAATGTAAGTTTCTTTCCTCATCCCACCACCCTTCTCCCTTTCCGTGCAGTGGTTTGACAAAGAAGCGTTCGGGGAAACAGCACAGTGAGTTTCAAATTGAAATGGAACTCTTCCCAAACGCTAAGAACATCTCAACCATCTACTTTAAGCAGAAGACCCATCATCACGATTATGATGAGCGAGCAATGTATATTCTGACAGCCAATCGCAATTCTCTCTTCATTTTCTCTCCCAATTTTCCAGGCTGGTAAGAGAGCAAATATTTTTCTCTCTTTCTGTAAGTGAACTTGAAATTAGTGGGGTTTTCCCGATATTACGAGCATGAGAATTCGTCAAAAAGCACAGGGGCATAGGGCTATCAGAATAGTCATTTCATTGAGGGTGAGGCTACACAATGCATTCAGGGTCCCATTGCAGTTAGTATTATCACCGAACAGTCAATATCTCACTGATGCTTCGAGTTCACAACAATTCGAATAGTGCTGTTAGATTAACACGGAGGTCAAAGTTATGATCAGTACAAGTGATGCAGTTCCAGCGAGTG